CCTATTGTAGTTCTGTCAATGTTCTGCTTAGTGCTCTCTGTTCCTTTCTAACGTCCTCTGCCCTTTGTTCTATCATTTGCCTAGTGATGAAAAATTAATGCCACTGCAGTTCCCTTGATTTGGGTTTGCTGTCTATTTTTTTAAATTTGCATCAAATTACCTTGCCTCAAGACTTGCAGATCTTCATCAATTTAGACTGATAGTTTTACAGTAAAAACATCCTTTTAGTTTCTTTTATAACCTTAAGAGATGGTGTGACGATGATGATTTCCTTATTTACCCAACTTGTTTTTTGATGTATGTTTGTTTTTCTTAGTGAAATCTTTTAATTTGAATTTCAATATTGTAGCTTTAAAAGCACTCCATTTTCTCTGGAATGCTTGTTCATTTATCTTAGTTGTACTTCATTCCTTTGACTGTTGAATCAGCATCTTGTTTTTTTTCTCCTGTTGCGTTTTGTTTAATAATAGATGACTTGTTATGAATACATATGTTAATTTAATCCTAATATAAATCTTTTGTATCTTCTTCATTTAATGTGACCTGTCTTAAATTTTGTGACCTGTCCTGTCCTCCACACTTTCTTGACTTCACAAATGATCTGCCAGATAGTGATTATCAAATATTTTAAACCTTTTTACACTCCTTGGAACATCTTGCTTTCCCACCCAGCTTGATGCTAAATTTAATGACATGTCATTGATGTCACAAAGGTGGTAGTGCTGTTGTAGCAACATCTCTCAACTGCATGTCTCTGCCACCTACAGGGTGACTCTGACATTTGTAAGTGTAATGTAAGTAAATTTTTAGGGTGCTTTTAGTATTCGTTAGGAATTGTACTTTATTGCTATCTATTATAAAAGTACTTTGTTTTTGGCTGCACAATTTTGGTTATTGAGGTGTACATCTGGTTGCTTTATTTGGTGAGCAATGCCTGACACACATGCAAGCACACAAAGGACTGGAGTGTATTCTTTGTATGGCTGCTTTGTGTGGTTAACAGCTGCATTTGAGGTTTTGGAGTGTGTAGTAGAGTAGGGGAAGCATAACAGCACGGATACGCGCTAAGCATATTGTGTTTTTGAGTTAATGGATGGGATTGATAAAAGGGGTAGGGATGGGTTGGCGCGGAACGAGTAGATGAGATGATAGAGTTGGTTGAATGTGGCGAAATGGCAGGGCTAATGATTTAATAATCATTCAAAATTTTTTCTGTGTGCTCAAAGTGAAGGTCACTAGATTTGAATAAAAATGTTTCACAAAAGCTGTCAGGCAAAGTAAAAGAAAACACCAGAGGATATCGATATAATCTACCTCCAATGAGCATACCAGTGCACAAATTTAGACTCGAGAAAGCATCAGCAATAATGCCACTATGAAACTTGAATCAGAATAAAACTGCTGGTTAGGAACCTGTTTTTTTCCATTTAAATGTTGAAAACATGACAGGCAGTTTTCAAGGAAATAGAATGTTTATTTCCTAAATAACACAAACTCACCAAAAGTTAACTTTGGTTTCAACTTGGTAGAAAGCTGTTTCCAATTAGATTTGCAATCTGATAATTAGCAATAAGTCACAAGAACAGACACGCGATAAAATTTATAATTATATCCATTGGCCTTTCTTTTATTTATGCATTGCTTTATTGCAGCTTTTTCCAGAGTGAGAAGTTTTGATTCTATTACTTTGGTGAAAAATAATTGGAAATTGTGTATTTAAGAAAATACTGTTGCAATATGTACTTATTTGATCATAGATGTTCTCAGATTTCTGCTAGTTAGTGAATAACAGTTTAAATAGAAAAGATTTTAAAAATGCAGAAATGCTGAAGATCATGATTTTGAAGGTTTATCTTTTTTATATTTTTGTATTTGAATAACAAAAGTACTCCTGCATGGTGTACTATCGAAAGAGGGAGGCAATGGCCTAGTGGTATTATTGCTGGACTGTTAATCCAGAGACCCAGATAATGTTCTGGGACCTGGGTTCGAATCCCGCCATGGGATAAAATATCTGGAATTAAGGATCTAATGATGACCATGAATCCATTGACAATTGTCAGGAAAAACCCATCTGGCTCACTAATGTCCTTTTAAGGAAGGAAATTGCCATCCTTACCTGGTCTGGCCTGCATGTGACTCCAGACCCACAGCAATGTGGTTGACTCTGAACTGCCCTCTGGGCAATTAGGGATGGGCAATAAATGCTGCCTAGCCAGCGACGCCCTCATCCCATTAATGAATGAAAAAAACATTGAAGATTGTTCACAGTTCACGCTGGTGCAGTGGGTATATTTGGAGAAAAGTATACCACTTTTGAATTCAAGTTTTACTTCATCTCTACTCATCTGATGGATGAGACGTTCTTTGAAGCAGTAAAGGTTGAGGGAGGACGTGATAGAGGTGTGTAAAGTCGAGGGGCATGGACAGGGTGGGTAGAAAGCAGCTGCTTCCCTTAGTTGAAAACAAGGAGGCACACTTTTTTAAAGTGAAAGGCATGAGGTTTAGAGGGGATTTGAGGAAAATATTTTCACTGAGAGGGTGGTGGGGTCTGGAATGCACTGCCTGGAGCATAGCCCAGGCGGGTATTCTCACAACCTTTTGAAAAGTACTTGGATGAGCTTGAAATGTAATAACGTTCAAGGTGATGGGTGTAGTGCAGGGAAGTGGAACCACTGGAGGTAGTAATATATCTGGGCAGTACAGACTGAATGGGCTGATGAGCCTCATTTGTGCGATATGATTCTTTGAATTGTGATTAAACCACGGAGATTTCATTGTATTATTCAACTTCAACCAGGGAGATCTTGCAATGTCGTGACCAGTATTTCCTCCTCCCAAATGAAAGGACAAAAATAGTGTTACTTTTATAATTCATCACTTTTCTGGTGGTTGGATCTTGCTGTTTACACAATGAGCAGCCATATTGTTTGTGTAATATAATTATGACTGCTCATCAAACATAACTCACTGCTAGAAAATTGCTTGCTTAAGGATATGTTCAAAGGATTCAAAAAGCCTTGTACAAAAACAGGACCTTTCTCTAAGGAATAGTACATTGGACTAAATAAATAAACAAGCTAGACTACCCACGCTTCATCAGGAAATGAAGGTGATGTGATGAAAGTTAAGAACGAGAAAAAATTTTTAATGAAATAATAAGTGGTGATATTCATCTTATGGGCATGTGGCTTGAATGAGATGGGTAATAAAACTGAAAATTAGACCATGAAAATATTTCAGTGAAATAACTTATTTGAAGCAGATTCTGTATCAAGCAGAATTCATTCAACAATTTCTTCAAATTCTTCGTTTTATACAATTGTAGTCTCATTGTAGTTTGATTTGAACCATTTCTATTTTGCAACTTTTTGTCAGTGCTGGAATGCTACTGTATTCCATTCTTAGGGGCAGAACCAGGTAACAGGTGCCAAGTCCACCTTGGCCAAAATGGGAATTAAACCCATGCTTGTTGGTATTATTCTGAACCAAATTTTAGCCATCCTAACTTCGATAACTATGTAATTTTAAAATCAAAAAATGCTGAGAATATTTTAGCAGCTTCTATGAAATGAGCAACAGCATTAATGTTTCGGGTAGTTGACATTTCAGAAAAATGGAATGTTATCCAACTGAAGCCATTAACCATGTTTCTACAGTGAATGTTCTGGAATCTTTCTCACTAAAGGACAAGAACCAAAATTGTGCATATCGATATGGTTGTAATACTCTGATCCATTATAAAATGTTGAAAATGTTCATTGCTGTCTTTTATTCCATATCTTTTGACAAAGCAGTTAGACAAAACTTTTAATTTTACAGTAACCTATGCACACCAATTCTCATATTTCTTTCCTATGATTATGTATGGTTTGTTCATTTTACTACTTGGTGTTTTCAGTTAATTTCTGCGTGACCGATTTAAGGCAATGTCTCAGGCTTGACTGGATTGTTTCCAGCCTTCCTGTTCAACCCAATCTGTGCTTCTAATCCACACTTCGATTAGCACAAAGTCTACACACGTAGTTTTGCCTGACTGGGACTGCAATTTTCATTGTGCCTTGTTCAGATTTAGTTATTCCAAATTTTTCCACTGTCTACTCTCCAACATCTGTTGACTGTATATATCTGGATTTGGAGCTCTTGTATTTGTGCTAGAAATTAAACATGGAAGGCAGGATTTTGTCTCATTTTTGTCGAGTTAATTTTGTTGGATGTCACAGAAGGTTTCTGTCTGTAAGGCTTAGTAAGATTTCTTGTCATATCATCCCAAACCTACCTTTTTAATTATTGATCCTGTCCCTATGCTAACTGTTGCCCAATATTAGCCCAATTCAATGACTCATTATACCCAAAACAATGCGCATCTGCTGGGATATCCCAGAATAGAACATCATCCACGACACTAGCATCACATCTAAAACGCTGTTTGCACCCAGCCAGCACTGTCAGTCTGGAGCTGCATGAGAACTGATATTTGCCTAAAATACAGCACAGAAGGAGTAACTGACACCATGCTTTGTGGATAGGGACTTGGAAGTCCGAGTGGACAATAGAGTACAGAGCAGGGCTATCCTCTTCCGTCAGGACCAATGGAGGCCAAAATACCAGACCCTGCCAGCCTAAGCCGAGGTTGCCACCAAGACATCATGCTCTCAGCTTTCTGGAGAAATACACAGCAGTGAAGGAAGAAGGACGGTCACCTTTTCTACTGCCACCATCTCTCTGCTAACTAACACTCAACCTGTCAGCAACTGTGTACACTTTCCATCAAAACTTGTGTTCTGCCACTCTCAATATTGCATGCAACATCTTCTCTCGCTGCTCTCACTCTCACCCCAACACACGCCATTACCAGTGTTGCATGGCCTCTGCATTCCTACTTGCTCATTTGAGACACCTCACCACTTTTCCCCCACCTGCATCAGCTGTGCCACCAGCTTTCGTCTCATTCAATCCCTCTCATTCTCTCAATATAGGAGAAAACAGCCCACAACGGGACTGAAAGATCCTAGATGGATGGTGGGCTGCCCAACATTCGGTTCCTCATCCCTTGCAAGAAGAGAAGCTTTACCCTGACGACCTCAAGTGACTGACTGTGTCCAAGCCTCTGGACTGATATTGGGGGCTCTTGTTGACTATGTGCAGTGGGAGCCCTCAACTGAAGGCGGTCATCCCTTGTCATGAGTGAGGATTGCTGACAGCCTTGATAAACTTCCTTGCTTTCTGTCTACGCTAAATGTCAAGATAAGACTGAAGTACTGTGAGCCTGGTGGCTCTAGCTGAGGGACAAGGCAGATATGGTAGGGATCTTGGAACTCACCAGTTGAGTCCAAAGTGAGAGAGCACAAAGAGAACAAAAAAACAGCCCTAAGAGGCAGCCTGGTTCAGTCCGTGAGTCGGATGCCTTTTCCTGAGGGCAAAGGGTCTTTGCAGCAGTGATTTCAATGCTAGTTCACCACAAAGTGCCACATTAAAGTGCAGAAGGGTCCTGTAAGGGTATCACATATGAGCCGTGCAATCTGAGAGGCTAGCAGGTGTCAGATGCCAGCATCCATAGACATGGCAGTTCAGAGAAGCAAAGAATGACCTCAGCCTTACATGTCAAGAATCACTGATATCTAATTTGCTTGCTCAGGATGGTAGGATAGAAAGCTGCATACAACGAGCAGTGTTCCCTTCAATTTTCTTTCCAGCTATTTGGGCTCCGAGGTCTGTGCACTTTTTTTGAATTGGAAATCAATTTTCATGATCGGCATGGCGATTGCCTTGCGTGTAACTTTGAATCTCACCAGTGCAGCTGCTCCACTGTTAATGAAGTTGTCAACAAGCAATGATCCCTGTTAATAGGCATCTCACCACTGCCCAGCAAGAACTATATCTCAACACCCAAAACCTCGTTGAAAAACACAAGTAGCTACTCCCAGCGTTGAGATAGGCCTTGTTGGACTTCTCAGGTGTTTCTCCTAGATTTGTCACCATAGCCTGCATATTTATTGCATGTATGAGATTCCACTCAATGTCTTTCTATATAGATTTTATTAGAGGAAGTGCTGCATGCTTTACAGAGGACAGTGTGAGGGTTGCAAGAGATCATATTGAGCTATTGAGATTTGTCATGGATGAATTATCCTGGATCTTTCCTCATTCTTCTTGGAATGGTCTCACTTTTGTAATTATCTAAAGACACCATGTTTTCTATCATGTAGGCTAGTGTAAACCAACTTCAGCTCAACACTGCAGAGAATGAGTCTTATAACAGCCAATGTTGTTTTGCATACAGTAAAAGTAAACATATAGTAGCCTGACAGATTAATGTAGTTGCTGTCTCAGAAAGTTAAATCTATGATGCCGGGGTTATCTCATAAGACAACTTTGTAAAATGTCCTTGATGATTTGAGCTGCCTCGCGATATTGTATAGTGATAGCTTGTTTCAAAAGGTTGTGTAGAGTAATTTCCCACAGACGGAGTTTGAACCTAAAATACATTCTTTAATAAAACCGCAATAAGTTTTTAATAAACTATTATTTTGTATATTTTCTAGATTCAGTACGAACAGAGAGTCTCCGACCTTGAACAGCTTTTAGTGGACAAGCTAATCCATGAGAGAGAGAATTTAGATGACTCTAATCCAAAAATGAAGATACTGGAAGAGGAAATTTTCAAATTGAAAGAGGCCCATAAGTCCAAGGAAAATCGACTCCGGAGTGACATTGAAAAACTGAAAAGTCAACTTTACCAGACAGAATTAAAGTTAATGGAGAGAGAAGAAAACTCCTTGAGAATGGCTGACCAGCATATGCAACATTCATATCAGCATGCCAAGATAGAGAAACTCAATTTAGAACTAGCTGCTAAAAACCGAGAGATACAAGAGCTTTCAAAGACGTTGGAACATCTACAAAGAGAGAGGAAGGTGCTCCTTAGTAACAAATCACAGTCAGAGAAATATTCACAACAGAAGTCAATCAAGAAATCCAAAAAAGACAATGAGTGTGCAGAATCTTTCCCAGCAACTTTAGATGAAAAGGTTTACCAGCCGAGTGACTTTTCTGGCTCTCACATCTCGGAGGTTCTGAAAGAAAATGATATGCTGAAGAACAACATCGAAAGACTATCTTTGGAAATAGACCAACAAAGAGCACAATTAGCCCAATTTGAAAATGAAGCAAGGAGGTAAAGATAGTATTTAACTATTTGTAAATTTGTTTCCTTGATACTCTCAGTTGAATAGATAATGCTTAGTAAAAAAAAAAGTGTAAATTGTGCATTTTAGGATGATCTAAGGTGATGCTACCAGCCCTTCTCTTGAAAGCTACCTGAAAACTTGGTTGCCCTCACTTATCTCAGGCCTGTGCCATGTGAGCTGTCTGTTGCTCTTGAAATTTGGCCCTTTTAAGGAAAGAAAAGCCCCAAGGCCTAATGTCTTGGCAACCCATGGCTCACTATTCAGATCTACCTGAATTTCTAGCCTGTAGTATCTTATATCACACCCTTTTAAGAAAAAAAAATCAAAGGACTCTTTTTATTATTTATTCACATAAAATTTGGACATATACTAAGCTAACAGTAATTTTCTATTCGTTCGCATGAAATTGATGAGTTTAGCGGCAATTGTGGACAAATATGACAACCATTTGAACAGCAATTATAGAAACAGTTACTTTGTATTTGGCAAAACTGGCTGAGGTTATTGAATGATAGTAATTTAAAATGTCAGATTACTCTATGTACCATTTTTAAATAGTTCAGTCAGTTCTTCAATGTCCACTGGAACCAATGAAATGGATGTGCTGGATATCCAATTAATATCTCACCATCCTTTCCACAAAGAATCAAACATTCCTCAGTGCTTCACTCAAGTATCAACCCAGGTATGTAATAGTAGTCGCCATAGTCCCAGAGAACCATAGGCTTGCTCTCTCATTAGATAGAGAGAAAGGGAGAGAAAAACAGCTGGTGTCACCACACCTCAAGTGAGGTTGAGCAAGCTGGATTTTCATGGTGATTTGGACATCGAACTGGTGCTGTTGTCACCACTCTGCATTGTAAATCAGACTCTACCCTGAAGAGCGGGCTTGCACCCACAACCTGAGTTGGGCGAGAGTGCTACCAATAAAGCCAAGTTGACATATGGTGAAAATTAGTCTTAAATACATTGCTGGATTTTTTTTAAATCTATAAACTGATTCTTGATCATTGTTTTCTAATAGTTCACATAAAGTAGGACATTTTTAATGATTTTCTCCAATCTGCAGAGCACAAGGTGGTGTTGCTGAGCATGTTGCAGCATTAAAAGCAGCCCATCAGCAAGAAGTAGAACAGATATTGACTCAGCATGCACTGGAATACTCCTCCTCGAAAGTGGCTGAATTGACAAACAAAATCTCTGCCCAAGAGGTACAGGCAATTAACTTACAATGTATATTATGGATTGTGAGTTTCATTAACAATGTCAAATTTTAAAATTAAGTTTTTTTTTCTGTTTGTTTATTATTCGATTTTGTTTTTCAGCGGGTATAGTGAGAGGGGCAGTTGGGCTTTGCACTATAAAGTTTTTTAAAGGAATTTTATTGGGTCTATTGTTTTGATACAGCACAGTAGATGGAAGATGGCATGTTGATGGGAATTGCAGGATCGAAAGCACAAACTGCATGAGTGGATTATGATAGCAAGGATTTTCACCTAAATTTGTGGTTTCCAGGGTTCTGATCATCACTGACCAGCCATTGTTTGGTGCTCCTTCCTAAATTCGCGTGAAAGGTGGTGATGAGCCACATTTTTGAAATAGTACAGACCATCTGGTGGACTGCACAGTTATCTCTTTCAGCTGAGCTAAACTATTCTGAACCTTAAAATTCCCATTTTAGAGAATGGGGTTGTATACTGCACAGCTCCTCCACAGAAATTCCTTGCTATCCAGGGCATGACAGTCCTGTTGAGAACATGAGGAGTTAAGACTAGTCCTCCCAAAAGGGCTGGTTGCACTATTGAAAAATTCAGACAAAAAAATATTTTTGTAGATCTAGAGATAGTAGGAACTGCAGATGCTGGAGAATCTGAGA